ACTCTACTGAATAATCCACCTGAACCTCATCAGGAGAGGACTCTTTAAAGTAGAGACACTACATACTGATATACACCTGAACATCAGCAGGAGAGGACTCTTTAAAGTAGAGACACTACATACTGATATACACCTGAACATCAGAGGAGAGGACTCTTTAAAGTAGAGACACTACATACTGATGATTAGTTTTGTTTGTATTTAAGTTCTGTTTTTTCTGTGAATGTTTTGGTTTAATAATACATAATTTGTATTGCTCTGCAGCCTGAACAAAACTGAACAATATATTTGAATAACTCACAACAACAAAAAGACTCGCCCCTGCTGCTGTCGTGAAATCAAAATGTCTGGAGCCTTTGTTTTCATAACGGATGAATGAGAAAGCATTGATTGGCAAAATGACACATGATTTCATTATAAGATGAAAATGTAGAAATGCATTGGTTTGAGTTACACATTGAAAGCATGCAGCACACACTGGGTTTGAACCAGATGTTGGTTCCATTGAGAGTCTGCAGAGTGACACTGAGTCACGGTTCAGCTGTCGAGGAGCAGAAGAGGGCTCTCAACGCTCCAGAGCTTCACAATTTACCAGGAAACTGCACCAGAGCCCAGAAAAGACCGGAGTTACTGATAAAGCACACGTGAAATGCATGTTGCATTGCTGATGCATTATATGTGCAGGAAAACATGGGCTAAGAAAAAAAAAGTCCAACTTCTCTAAATGTCTTGTTTAGTCAGTCCAAAAACCACAGATTTGCACTTAAACGTCAAAAAACGTATATCAAACTTTAAAAAAATTCAATGAATTAAAATAAAATACTAAATGAAGTTAAAAAAAATTAAAATAAAGTAAGATAGAAAAAAGGTAGAAGAAAATAAGACGAGAAAATGTATAAAATTAAAAAGGAATTAAAACATAAAAAGAGGTAACAAGAATGCAATAAAAATTGAAATGAAAAAATATGTAGGGGGTATTTATTTAAAGGTCACCTATCATGCTATTTGTAGGCAATAGCAGAGGTCTCAGATATATAAAAATATATAAAAAACATGTCTATGAAGTGTTTTGCTCCGAACACCAAACAGATCATTCTAGCCATGCCTCATATCCCTCTATTTCACTTCCTGTTTCAAAAGTGCTGATTTGGGTATAAAGCTTTAAAGAGGAGGGGTCTGAGCTCATGCGGGACCCGGCAGCTACTGTTTAAACTAAATGCTGCCGTGATGAAACGCCATATCATGGATTATCAAGGATTCTCTCTGAAACAGTTTGGAGCTCAAAGGCTTTCTCTCTTGCCGGTTATACCACAAGGTGAGTTCCTTTCTACTTCCTGCTTCTTCACACACATGCTCTCCAGTACAGGTTAGCTCTGAGTGTTAGCGATGCTAATGTAAACACCGACCATATTACGTCCAAACAGTCGGGCATTGTTTCTGATAGCAACGTTTCTGATTGGGCCGTGGGTCCACATTTCAGATATTACGTCATATCGGACGCAAATCTGGATCAGCTCCGTTGTTCCCCGTTTTTAGAGATTTGGGTACGGAGGAAAAGAGAGAGGGTTTTATTTCCTGACGCTGCGTGAGTTCCCCGACACACCGGGGACACATGGTGATGTAGAGAAGACATCACAAAGTGCATTTTGCATGATAGGTCCCCTTTAAGTAAAATAAAAAATGTGCAATAAAAACTGAACGAAATAAAACAAAAATATAATAATTAACTCAATTAAAAACAAAGAATATGAAAAACAGTATTTTGTTATAGCAATAATAAAGGACAACAGGAGGAACATATTGATGTAGAAAAGACATTCAAAAGTGCATTTTGCATGATAGGTCCCCTTTAAATTAAAGGTCAGGTATATTTGCCGTCATGGCTCCTCGAATTTAGAGCAAAATGAAATGGAGCGACTTGCTGAGGATAATAATCAGTCACTTCTTTAAACCTCTTTTTATAGACTTGCTTTCATGTGTTGTCTTTGGATTGTTTTTGTCCCATTCCTTTGACAACATATTGTGTTGTTTATATCTATTGTTCTGTTTGTCATCTCTACACAATGTCTTTGAGTCAGCTGACACCCTGAGCTCATCTTAACTTCTTGCTTTTGTTTGTTTTGTTGTTGTTTGCT